AATCCATATATACTCTCGTCCGTTTCACTTTTAGCTGCAATCGATGGTGCAATGCATTTAAACTAGATTCCCACTCACTCAGTTGTGGCTAATAACGTTAGTTGGCACACTCATGACTGATTTTAATCGACGAACAGATTTTTTATTTGCTGAGTAAAGCATGTCACTTAATTTCTCGAATAAATGAAGTTAGAATGTGAGCTGCACACTGCGCCAGGAATGTTGAATTTTAAACAAGATTAGCAACTACATTGCGAAGGGATTATTGTCATACTTGGAACTATGCATTTGCAGTAAATCAATTAATGAATTAGCGCTGCTAAATTAAATGTACATAAATAATAATTGATAGTAAGGTTTCCTTTATGCTGTTAAACCTCTTCAATGCTTTAAATAAAAGTCACGCAATTTAAGATATATAATAGCTATGCTAAATTAACTCACTTAAATAAACAATTTTAGTAATTAATTTGCTTTGTGTAAATCATATTTAATGCTCTAAACAAAAGGCAACAAATTTATGCTTTCTCAAAAGAATTATTTTCTTTCTTGAATTTATGCATTTGCAAGAATCGAATCTATGAATTAAATCTGCTAAATTCAATTTGCCTAAGAAACAATCAATATCGATAGTAATACATTTAATCCTAAATCGACTTTAATGCTTTAAACAAAAGGCAAACAAATCATAATTGCAAACTAAAGACAAGAAATGAGTTTGCCGGTAAACTGGTGAATTTCCTTAATATGTAGTTAAGTACACGGCTTTTGTGGATCATCTTAAGAGTATTTGAACTTTAGCTATTCATGCTAGTTAAGCATCTTAATTACGTTAATAGCACCTGTTGCACTTAGCTCTCTCTATGTTGTCGCAACGTAGCAACACAGTCTGCAATTAAAAGCCATTTACTTAATGCACCCCTCGAACGGCTTAGCCCGACTTGAGGGCGAGAAGGGCGCAGTCAGCCAGCTGCAACCGCAGCTGCTGCCAACTATTATGAGCCGGGCCATAAAGCATCTCGTACTGTTTTCTGTTTGTTTGCTGACGCTTAGGGATTTGCTGGATGTGCATGCGGATGCTGATCGGGATGGGGGGCGGTGGATGGCGATGAGGATGGGGATAATGGTGCCAACAAAACCTGACAGCAAGAAATGCATGCAAACGTTAACTGGGCTGTTGCCGTTGATCCTGATGCCGATGATACGGCCTAGAAAGAGGTCGACTTCATACACTCAATGAAGTAATGACGGCGTGTACCGTTAGGCTAGTCAAATACAGATTAGTGCTGCTAAACCTGGCTGGGAAATTGAAAAGCCTGTCGAAAGTTTTTTCATCTGCAGCCCATCATCTTAATTGAGTGCAATATGCAAGTCATATTGAAAAGTATGGCCTCGATATGTAGTAGGCTTGCCAGCCTCTGTTCCGTTCTGTTCGCTTCTGCCTGGGTGCCTATGGCCTATATAGTCTCCTTGCCTTGATAACTGACAAATCATTTCATTTTTCATAGCAAAAACAACGACGACAACACGCTTTTAAAATATTTGTTCGTTCAATGACATTGAAAAGAATTTGTGTATGCATGTGTATGCATGTGTATGCATGTGTGAGAGTGTGTGTATGCATGTGTGAGAGTGTGTGTGTGCGAGTGTGTCTGTGTGTGTGTGTGTCGTTTCTTTTCATCAACAATGTTGACGTCGTCACTGACGTTTCGCCTGGCCGAATTTTGGCAACGCCCAACTGTAGCCTCTTCGATCTCTTGTCTCTCGAGCGCCTCCCCCCATTTCATCGAAATTTATATGCTTTATAAATTCATGGGCTTGTCGGCCTTGTTCCTGGTCTCGGTCTCACTCTTTCTCTCTCTCTGTCTGCTATTTTAAGCTACATGCATTGTCTTTTCCTTGTGCTCTATAAAAATGATAAAGTATAAAATATTTTTAGCACGGCCCAGAACTCGTGTCGCATGTATGTGTGTGTGTGTGTGTGTGTGTGTGTGTGTGTGTGTGTGTGTGTGTGTGTGTGTTCGTTCCTCTTTTTGCCTCTTGGCCATTGCATAATTGCACAAATTGATTACATTTTGGCGGACTGTTCGCTCTGCACGGGTGCCGACTTAGCATTTCCTTTCATTTCCGTGCAACCAAATGAGTTTCCAAATGCCCAACTGTTTCACGACACTCCACTCTCACTCAGCAGCGGAAAGGTCAATGAAACGCCTGCTGCTGCTATACGACTGTCGCCCATCTAATGACCGCCGACTGTGCCGCACAGTTGAACACAATTTGGTTACAGCCCTGTGGCCAAATTGAAACGAGATAATATGCGCCAAAAAATAGAGCATCCGCGCCACATAAGAGGCGTTCCCATATGCTGTCAAGAGCCCAAATTGTTTGTTCTGTTTGTGTCTCTGTGTGTGTATGTGTGTGTGTGTTTGTGTGCTTATACAGCAGTCTCTAGCTGCGTCCACTTGTCTACGGCTGTTGAGATCTCTGTGGCCGCCCTCTTGATGATGGATCGATTGCTGTTTGATGTTGTTTGGTTTCGATGGGTTTCGAATGTTTGCTGCTGGATAATATACAGTTGTTCGCTGTTGCGCTGTTGCGCTGTTGCTATGCATCAGCCCCCTTCAAATCATTATACACAAACATTAGAATTGTCAGTGAAATCCATAAATACTGTTCATGAAAGGCTCTGTAATTTTCCAAAAATTATAAATTAACCATAGCAGCGTGAGTTGAATGATTTGATGAAAGTGATGGCTTGTCCCAAACATTTACAATTTATATGGTATTGTACATCTTTAAAGAGTTGCTTACAAATACGTCTATATTTTTAATCAAACTTAGACTGAGCTAACATTTAAGGTAGGGCTTATCAAATTTTTAATATGAGCTAAATTTATTGATGTGAAAATTCTCTCTACCTAGTAATTGGGTCTCAACATATCGTATTTATGAAGCAGACACAAATTTTCTGATTTGTATAATATATATTTTTTATCTGTTTATGTTTAATTTTTATTATTTATTTATTTTTAGTTTTTGTTATTTATTTGTTTTTAATTTTTATTATTTATTTATTTCATGACACAAAAATTGAAATGTATCAATCCAATTTCAAGAAATTTTGCCCAAATAAGAATTGAAATTTGTTATTCGAAATTTGTTTTTGCAATCCTCAATTAAGTCATATCGATCGTATACATTCCAAATGAATTATTTTCTTTTAATACTTACCCTAATTTTCTGACTTTTCTTAATCGAGCTTAGCAAAAGCATGTTTCACTAATTAGTGTTCATTTATTAACTATAAACAATATTTACAAAATAAATGTATAACTCAAGCTTTGCTCTTAATGTCATTCATAATAATTGCGACTATATTACACATATAAGCTGATTAATTAAACTCAATTGATTAATTAAACTCAACTGTTCAAAACTTTACTATGGTCTATTTCGGACAATTTATGTTAAACCAGCCATATTTTGTCTACATGTTTTATGTGGATTACACATTCAACAAATGTACAAATATTTGCAAATAAATGTATGTAGACTGATATTTTTAATTAAATTGCAGTTGGCAAACATTTTATCTGAAACATGCCACAGATATTTCACTGCAGCTGGCGAACTAAAGTGGAGAGTGAGGTCAGGTTGCAGTTGTAGTGAATGTGTAGCAAGTGCTTTCCATCGACGCTGAATGGAATGCACAGTTGCACAAATCCCATCATTGGAGCTCGAGCTGACACCTCCTTCATGGGCGCCGGGTAGACATGGCCGATGCCACTCGCTGCCACTCGACATGGTGGGGCAACAATAATGCCCATTGTTTCAGTGCAACTCGAACATGTCCTGCTCGAGAGTCGACAGTCCAGCTATTGCTGCTATTGTTTACTCTGTGGCGTTGAGGTTGTCGCCTTGCACAGGTCCCACGTGTGGTATTAGTTACATCATGTTATTATCCCCAGTCTGGAGCGCATATATAAATATATTGATGTGAATATAACTGAGAGTGGCCGTCAGTGTGTGTGAGTGTGTGTGCGCGCTCCTGTTGTTCTCTATTTAACTAGGTCAGCTTGAATGCCGCGTAGCAAAGGATTGTGTGCGCCCACCTGCCACACCTGCCACTGCGGTGACCTTTTGTGCGAGGCTCTTGTGGCCTTTCGTGGGTGTGTTTCGCGTAGACAAACAGCCGCAAAAACACACACACACACACGCACACTGACACGCACGTACCTATATAAAAACACTGATACATATACGTAGGCCTTATAGGCCCATATATATATATA